TATCTGGGTTCCTGGGCTTAAAACAGATCATGAAAACTTTCTCACTCTTCCCTTTCATTCACAGGGAGAACTTTTGTATTTATTTTTTTATTGCTAAGAATAAATCTATCAGATTTGTTATTCCCAAATCATCTGAGAATAAAAATGTTTCCAAACCACCCACAGACTCTCAGCATATGCTCACTTATGTTTTACTAAAATGCAAAAGTCTATAAAACTTCTCTTCCTGGACCATTTTCTTGCATATACTGTTGACTCTTTAGTTGCTGAAAGGAGTTACACCTACTTTCTGCTTGACAGAAACCTGGAAACCTATATATTAGGTAGCTATTTGTGTGTGATTCTGTTGCTCACTTCAACTTTTCTCTCAAATGCACCATACTAGTCTGTTCCCCAACTCTATAATGTGGTCATTTGTATCATAAAACAGGAAACCAATAATCTCTTCCTGGGCCATCCACACCATCCACATCAGAGCTTTGAGAAGCAAAGCTGACTACTATGTCAGTTGGCTTTATTCTTTAATGACTCTCATTCTGACCTATACCTAAAGGCTTTAAAATACCAGGAAGAGTGGCCATGATTCCCTTGTCAGTATCTGTTCACATTTTCATTGTGAACAGAGAAAGACAGCTACATTTTCTTGACCACCAATCAATTATTTAACATGTGTTATCTCAGTTTATCATCACACATCCTAGTGAGATAAATTATTATTTCTAGTGCATAGTTTGGAAGTGAAAGAACAGAAACTCAAAAGACCTAAGGAAGCCATCCTGAATCCCAGATAGCAGAAGAAGTTTTGTGTAAATCTAGTCAGAATGTAAAATTGTTATGATTGCTCCATTTTAAGACATTGTTTTACAAATTTTAGTGGACATAATCATGTTAGACCACATAGATCATGTTAGACCACATAGTCCCTGGTATTTTGGTGTGTTTGACAAAAGCCCCAAGTACATGTTCTCTGGGATTTAGATAGTGCTTGCGTGAAGACCACACTTTGAGAAGCACTGAACTAAACCATGTTGCTTTAGTAAGGGTACTTTCACAGTCTCATAGCTAGCTTCCAAATCTGAGAAATGAATTCTTAAATTTCCACCACTGGGCTTATATTTGATTGTAAACTCAGTAGGCTGGATATTATTAAGGGAGACAGATGTTGCCCAATCACGTGGAGGTGTTAATAATAGTATTTTAGAATTTGAAGAGACCTTAGAGATTGTCTAATTCCATCTCTTCGTATTACAAAAGAGCAAACATGTCTTGTTCAAATTTATTGGAGAAATAAATTTTTAGATTCAATAAAGTTGTCAGGAACACAGTTGATAGTTGTTCCAGTCATCCATTTCTGGCCAGCTAAATCATTCCAAAACCATAGCAGAGAATTTGGCCTCATTACAAGAGGCCACCTCCCAATCGCTTGGGCAAAGAGACATCTGTGAGCCAACCTTCTCATTCATACACCAACCTAAGAACATATGTGGCCTGGGATGTCAGTTCTTTTCAGCAATTGATCATTGAATCTCTTTGGTTCTGTGTGTAGGCAGAGAAATCTGCATCCATACAAGTTATAGGAAGTTTATTGTGTTTTTCCTTAGTTTAGTCCAGATATTCTGACTCAGAGAAAATTTCCCATCCCTGCTTGCTTTAAAACGACCCTGTTCACAACCCAATTCAACATATCCATAATTCCTCTGTAGTTTCTCTTACTTATGTCTGCTAAATTGTATCTAAGCAGGTCAAGGTAAATTTACATTTATTCTATAATAAATTCAAGATAATATTTTTTATTAATGAGCTGATTTTAATGGACTTTGTGCTTCTCAGTCACTTATGTTCCCAATTAATACTTAGGTGATATATTTTTATTTCAGGAGATGGGTAGTGAATGCCATTGCAGAGCTCACCTGAGTTGTCAAACAGGGAATAGAAGAAGATTAAATGCAATTAAAAGGTTAACAAAGTTCATTATGTTAAATCTATGGTTGAGGAGATTTTCTAGGATGCCAGCTATCTCTAAAGATGGGAATAGGATTATGAAATTGGCCTGGCTGATTTGGACAAATAGAAAAATAGAACTTAATTTCACAATGCAATGGAAGCTTGACATCTGGTGTCAAATTGTTAGACAATTGCTAAGAAATAGCAGGGAATGAACTCACAATCTTGCACTTGCTAGGCAGGCACTGAGCTAAACTCCGAGCCCCTAAGAAACTTGTAATAATGATGACCCCTCATAAATAAGGGATTTGGTATGAGAGGGATATTTATTCTTTCTACGTAAGTATTGAGAACTACTCATAGCTTTAGCATTTTAATATGTCAGTATTTTCAGCAGAGGAAAACCAATATTTTATTTTTACAGTGTTATAAACTTAACTACAGTTGCAGTATTGTAAGATAAGGTGCTTAATGTGATTACTCCCAAGGAAACATCACTAGCGTCTATGACTGAACTTCAAGCATCTATGAGGCAATATGATAAGCCCTCTAAGGTATTAAAATACTAAAGTTTAGAAAAACATGAGACATTCTTATGCAAAATGACTGTTGATATGACATCCAGAAATTCATGACACTTCTACTGACCAGAAACAAAAGAGGAGCCCCAGCCTACATAGAAAGGGAGTCCCATAATGATTATGGTCCAACGGAAAGGAGTCAGAGACCACATAACTCCTCAAAGGCTAGTTGGGCCATCAGAACAGATGAACAAAAATAAGTGAAGATAGGGAGGCACGAACCTCACCCCATGATCCTTGAGCAGCTTTCACATGGATTCTCATTACAGTATATTGTTATGAACTGATGGATAAGAGATCTTTTGTCCTAAATTTGGAGTTTGTAGGAGGGAGCTGAATATCAAAGAAGGGATTGGGAATTTAGGGTCCTGGAAGGAATAGGGTGATATGATCACAGTCGTCCTTTTAGGCTGACTATATTATCTGGTGTGTGCATAAGAAGTTTAAGAAAAAGCAACTGGAAGTTGGAACTCTTTCCAGAGGAATTTTAGGGGCTCGGCTACTTTAGGGAACAGTCAAGAAAGGGGAAAGGTGGGATCTTGACCCCTTATATCCTGCCTCCATAACAGCAGCAAACATGTGACTTGTCAGGGATGTGGGTCTTTCATTCAATGTGCTATTGGCAGAAAAACTTCTGCTCCTAAGAAAGGCATTAAATCCATCACCCCAGGGTGAGCCCAGAAGGATCTGACCAAAGCTGGAAATGTGGTGGGCTGAGAAGTAGGTATAAAAGGCAAAGTGGAAACATAAAAGCTTGGCAGGACTTTGCGAGTGGCTGTATGCATAGTAGAGGAGAAGGAACTGTAAAGTATGGCACTGAGGGCTTGTATTATAGTCATTTGATGATGGGTTTTATCTGCACAGAGTTTTCAGAATGTTAGAGTAATTCAGTATAAATGTCTTCTAGGAATTTGAGAATGTAAAATCTAGGAATTTGAGAATGTAAAATGAAGCTTAGTAGAAGTATGTGGGTGAGATATAATTTTTGAATTTTTAACAGGACAAAGATACAAACAATGGTTTGCAGACATGCTTCATAAAAATGTTAACGTGAATTCTAATAGTTGCAATGTGTTGACTACATATGCCACACCTTGTACATGAATAATTTTGTTTTATCTTTAGACACTTTAGGACATGTATTATTTTTATCATCATTTCATAACTGAGAGACTTGGCATACATGTAAAAAATAAAGCCCAAGATCACAGAGTCATTAACTCAAAGCTGTTAGTTTTCAAATCCGGACAGTCTGCCTCCAGAGCCTGTATTTTGTTAGAGGGTGAGTACAGGAAAAATTTTAAAGTGGCACAGGATAAATGGTCAAGAAAACGAAGCATGCAGGTACGTTGACAAAGAAGACTGTCAGTACCTGCTATTGAACTGGCTTTCATGGCACTGTTGCTCACTTTTACAGTAAGAAATTGGACACAAACAAAGCATCCATCAATTGGAAGACGTGAAATAAAATGTGATTCATACATTCGAAAGAGCACTGTGCAGCAGTCATGAAGAAGGTGAGGCCTGTCGGTATTACTGAACCAGATAAATGTAACCATTCACGCTGATGAACGAAAGGAACAAATGATGAATCATTTCAGTTTTTTGAAGCATCATTTATATGAATTATAAAAAGACATTGTTTATGCATGAGAAACTCATCTGGGAAGATGATTATTCAAATAAGGAATATAGCTAGTGAGTTATTTAGGAAAGATGATTAGAGGAATTTAGAAGGTTTTTGCATTTGCTATTTTTTCCTCTATTCCATGAATTTTCTGGCATTACTCCAACAAGCTAAGAAACGCAAAATAAACAATAAAATTATTTTCATTTTGAAACAGAAATAAAGAGAAGCCAAGTTCATAAAGTATTGCAGAGATTTCGCGGAACATGAAGACCGAAGGCAAAATTAACTTTGCTCTCATGTCAGATGTGGTTCATGCTCCTCCAGTGGGATGGGACGAGCCAGTCACTTGTTCCTCCTTTTTTCCTGTTTCTTTTTCTATAAAATGCAGCACCAAAATTTAAAGCATGGTCCTGTTCATGGGAAGGGGGGCATGCGACTGATCTTGGTGCTGAAAACCAACACGTATGATGGAATTCATGAGTTGGAGAGCATTGCCACCTGCTAAGGTCAGGAAAGTCAGCTCTCCAAGCTGAATCCTTAGTCTTGTCTGCTTGTTTTATTTTGTGTGGTAGTGGTGTGTGTGCGTGTGTGTGTATGTGTGTGTGTGTGTGTGTGTGTGTGTGTTGTAACTTGTTCTGTCTTTGGTTACAAAACAAAAAAAGAACCTTCCATTGCCTTGTTTTCACTAAATATGTCCTCCTCATTTAAAACCGACATTGCCAGCTTTGTTTATCAGTGTGCAACAGGATTGCACATTTTATTTTTCGGCCAAGTCTTATGATGTGCAAAGGTTCCTGTTACAATTAGTGCTTAGAAGTTTATAGAATTCATGGATTAATATAATCAGAAAATCCCGAGGTGCTCCCACCATGCCTCACGCCAGATGATTTGAACAGAAGAAAAGGCTGCCGCTTTTGCTGTGCATTCTTCAGTCACACTTGCACGTGCTCTGAAGAAGAGATTTCTGTAGCCACTGGAGAGCCTTACAAAAAGTGCTTCACACACACACTTGCAGTGTCATCGCTGCAAGACAGGAACAATGACACACTACAAACTCAGGCAAATATCATTTTTAAGAAAAAAAATCCCACCGAATTATTCCTCTTTGTGATTTCAGAAGCTGATCGTTAGTAGCTCAGTTTGATTACATTGCCTCATAAATTTCATGAAACAAATGTTCAAATAAAGATAATTTAGGAGTGAGCTTTCTGGGTTTGGGAGAGGCAGGCATCACCTTATAGCTGAGACAATAGTTTCTGTTAGGAGGGAAAATGTTTGCATAATGGACTCTGACATTCTATTACTACAGAAAAAAAAAAGGAGTTTTTTATGTACAAATCAATCACTTCCTTAGTCACTTTATCAAAATCAATCAGTATGCAGCAGGACCCATGCACATTTCATTTTTCATCTGAATGTTAAGATGTGCAAGGGTCACAAAAGTGACTAAGGAAGGAGTTGCATTTACGAGACCTGCTGTGCTACTGAATAACCTTCCACTATAATATTTGAGTATTTTCTAAATCAATTCCATGTTATTTATAATCTAATTGTATTATAGTTATGCAGAGATGTTATTTTCCTTTTTGCTTTATAAAGTGTTCCTCAGAATCTTTACTTAGTGAGATTTCAGGATATAAACATGGAACTGTTGGAACTGCAATTGGGTGACAAGCTCAGCCCAACCATCCCATGGTTTCTCAGGTGTCACTGACTGTGAAATAAGGACCTGGTTTTTCTTCACACATTGGATTTTAACTTTGTGGTTTGGTTCTCCATTCACTTTTCTAAAAGTTGACTCTCTTGAATATAATGTGAAATATTACCAAAAAAGAGCGAAATATGCCTTATGTCTGATATGTGCTTAAAATGGGTGACTTAAAAAGAAAAAGGATGAGCAGATTGTTGCCATCAATTCCATCAATTCCATCAATGCCATCAATTCCAAGGACTTATTGGGAGCTTGACAATGGAGTTAAAGCTGCAGAATGAAGTCGTCCTATTGCACCAGGACATGTGATAAAAATACAGTGGGTGTTTAAATTTTAAAAATATTCATAGCGGTAAAGGATGCATTTCCATTAATCATTGTGAAAATACTCCTCCTTGCTCCAAACATATCTACTGCACCATCTTTGTCACTTTCTGAAACAGTTGTGGAAGTCTTCTTTTGTGTCTTATGAGCGACAATTAAGTGCAATCTAAAGACAGGCTTGCAAAAAAAACATGACAGTGTGTCCTTGTTTACCTTACTCATCAAATCTGGCACCATGGGACTCCTGGCTCTTCCCCAGAGTCAAAATTTCCCTGAAAAGCAAACATGTTTCATTCAGGACATCAATTTAAACACAACAGTGCAGCAAAAAACATTCATGAAAAATGACTTCTAGAACTGTCTTCAGAAAGTGACCAGAACAATGAGATGAGTATGCTTGAAGAGAGAGGGACCATTCTGAAGGTAGTGATAGCAATATACTTTTACTGTAATAATTTCCTTAAATTTAATTATTCACCATATGCTTCAATCACAGCACATACTATCTATTTGAGATTACCTTGTAATACATGTCCTATGTGTCTTGTGCTGTTTCAGGGGAAAAGTTCCACAAGCTGGACCTCCTTGGTGTAACTAACTCTCTTACCTGGCCCTTTCCACTCTGTCAGCACAGGTCTTCACTGGCTGTAGGGGTAGAGACAAGAGATCCTCTAATATTCAGACCTTACTACCACTGAGTCTTCCTTGTTCTGCTCAATAACCAGACAACACTGGAGATTTCCAGGATTTTCCTAACCTGGAAACCAGGTCAAGGGATACTTTCTCAGTGGTGCCTGTGTTTGCACTGTCTTCTTTTTGTTCTGGATTCTACCCTCTATTGAAGGAACACACACACACACACACGCATACGTGCACACACACAAACACACACACACAGGCTCCTGTTTCATCCACAATTATTAGTTAATGATGTAGTACTAAATCATCCCCTGAGCCAGTATTCTTCAATTTCTTAGTTGCCCAGTTAATAGCTGTTGTTACAGCTCCTGTTACTACTGTCTCCTAGAAACAACTGGTCACTGTGACACATAGCAGGTCACTATGGGCCGTATGATAAAAACCAATCAAAGACAGTCAAGTAATCTGCTTCTTGCATGCAACCCCATAAAAACCTCCCTCCCTGAGTATTTGAGGCCTGATATTTTGGTAATGATCCCAATCAGTGCCCATCTGACCTTAAATAAATCTTCCTCCAAATCCTGAGGTATTATTTCGATGTTTCTACTTACCACTACACTGGATTCATTCTTCTGTCACATTACAGTATTTAATGTTTACAATTCTAGGATCAGTGGCATTTGAAGGGTTTGTACTACCTTCTTTGGCTATGGTCAAAATACATCATTGTTTATATACACTGTTTTATTCAGTTTACATAGAGGCATGACTATTAGATGTCACCAATCCTATTTCATAGATGTAGCCCCAAAAGAACTTTGTTCCAGAATAAATAGCTAAGACTGATAGAAGCAGGCCTATCTCCAAAGTCATGATTAAACTTGATTATAGCATATTCTAGATCAAATCATTTTTTAAACTTTGAAAACTTAATTCTTGAAGCACTCATAATTTCTTCTTGGAAAATGAAGAACCAGATACTCCTGGCAGCTGACAGCCTCCATTATAATATCCATCACTTAATCCCTCTTGGTTTTCTCGCATCAGCTGCCAATTGCCACCTCTAAATCCATGCCGTTCCATCGTGTCCTTCATTTCTCTTTCCCCCTCTCTGGGACTCTATCCTTTCTTCTCTTCTCCACTGCTCCCTCCAGCCTTGGATGCTCTTATCTGGTGCTATACTACCCACACATATGATTTACAGAAGGCTTGAAATGTGCCAGATGATGTCCTGTGTTCATTACATGAGTAAATTTATTCATTATTCCAATTCCCTTTGCTATATTCCCTGTATAGAAATTGGCCCTCAAAGATTAAATAGCAAACCCAAAGCCATAAATTACATAAGTGGTAGAATTTGAACTTGAGCTATAACCATTTCACACTTGATTTCCTCCATCTGAATAGTTGGCTACACTTTTTTAAAAGATACATTTCACTAATTAGGTATCAAATAAATGCAAATTAAATGGTGAACAGTTTGCCTCTCTGTCTTCTAACCCAATAAGTGAAAGTTTAAAAGAAAAACTCAATTTTGATATTTGACACTGGTGAATATATGGATTTAGAAATTCTTCCATGATAGAGAATGTAATTGGCACAGTGATTTTGGAAAATAATTTAATATATATGAACATTTTAAAACTCCATATGGTTTGGCTCTGTCTTTCCTCTTCCAGGAATCTACTCTGAGAAGCCACCGAAATACACATAAAGATTTGTCCCCCATAATGCTATTTTGAGTAGGAAAAACAAGAGGAGATAATGTAAATGTGTAGCAGTAAGGTAAAGCATGGAAAAAGGTGAGAAATGCAAATATTTAAGTGCAGTTTAGCCATTGAAATAATACAGTTTTAATCTTTTTGTTGTGATAAGTAGTATACCCACAGAAAAAGCCCTTCAAAACTGAAAGCACAATTTCATAAGTAACTGTAGAAACACTGCTCAAACCTCCTACATGGATCAAGAAATGGTCCCCAATCCCCAACTGCTCCAAGTACTGTTTATTCTCATTTTTCTATCATCTCCTTTTACATTCAGACTAAGGATGTTCTCACATTTGAGCTCTGCGTAAATCAAATCCAGTCTGTTTTTAATTGTGTCTAGATTATCTATACATTTTGTTTATGCCTTGAGTCATTGATACAATTTGGGTTATTTCCACATTTGGGACTTTAAAAACAAAACAGTGCCATTCTTAAATTCATGAATTTCTATCCTGGTGCACTTGAGACTCTAATTTCAAATCTGCTTTGCTATCTATACCTATGACATTACATAATCATAGAATATATACATCTTCAACTAGACAATCTATTTTCTCAAGGACTGCCTCCATTTCTTCTAGCAATCAGATTTTGTTTCTTATTGCTCATTTCTCCTTCCAAATGTGTATACTGTTACTAAGAGTCTACTTATCTCTCTTGGTTTCCTGAGTTATTTTTATTTATCAATTGGTGGGTGTTCTTTGTATATTCTCAGTGGAAATCATTTTTTTCTAATCACTATAACACTACAGATAACTGTAAGACACTATACCATCCTAACTGAAATTTTATATTCAGTACTATCTTAAATCTGACACTAATCTAAGTACGAATCTTCACTATTGACTTGATATTAGCTCTACTCCTAATGCTAACACTAAATCTAACAGTAGGCCTAGAGCTAGTGAAAACAATTACTCTAATCTTAAATCTAACCCTAATACAAATTAAATATCATCTAAACAGTTGTCCTAAATCTAAATCTAACTCTCAATTCAACGATAATGATAGATCTATTTCTACCATCCAGCTTAACCCTAACAATTATATGAAACCTTACCACTGATTATAAACCTACCACACTCTTTCTTAAATTATTAAAACTTAGTTTATAGTCCTGGGTAAGGTCAATTTTTATCAGTCTCTCATGAAGATTGGAAGGAATGTGGATTTTACAGTTGTTGCATTGTATATCACATATGGCTTTTAGGTCAAAATTTGTAACTGTGTTGTTCAAATTTATTGTACTGATGCATGTACATTTTTCTATCTAAGAAAATCCCCAGTGCATTACTTTCGCGCTACAATATACAACGATCCTATTTTGGGTAAAATTTTACTATCTATTCCTCTCCAATTTGTAGGTGTGTGTGTGTATGTGTGTGTGTGTGAGCAGGCATGTGCATGTGTGTGTGATTTGAAAGACAAGGAAGTTGTAGGGGAAGAAAGTTTAACTTATTCTATTGGAACTGTCAGCTAATACTTGTAAAAATGTAGCGAAACAGATAATGAGTCTTGCAAAGCAAATTAGAAGCTGCCCATGACCAGCTAGCCCTACGTAACCAACACACAGGGAGAAGCCCCAGCCAATGGAGACAGATGATCTTCCTAACCGACAACTGACCGTATACAAATGAAGAAGCCCTACATGTCAATCCACTGAATCATGAGCAATGATAAATGGTTAGTATTCTAGACACCAAATTTTAGGATTTCTTGTGCTGCATCATGAGCTAACTGATACAGCATTCACATCCCAAAATTCATATCCTTCATCTGGAAGCCAAAATTGCCAGTGCACAACGCCAGCTTGATCAAGTTCTTGGTGAAAGCCCTCTCTTTTGTATCCTCACATGAGATCAGAAAGAAAGAAAACTCATCTCCTCTTCTGAGGGCAATAATGTTTTATGAGACTAATCCATTATGACAAAATTACCTCGTAAAGATTCTAAATACCATCACACTGGAGATCAGGGTTTCGACAGAAAATTAGGAGGGCAGACAATTCTCAATCCTTTCAAACGGTGTATTCTTCACAAACGTCCTTGCATCTGTGGATCTTCTACCCTAAGGGTATGCACATTCAAGGCTGAACTTTCACCCGTTTCATCCTGTAGGTTTAAGGCCATGTGTCCCTATCTTTCAGAAAACAACCAGCTCTTCAGATAGGTCAAATGTTAATGTACTGGCAACTTCTATCAAAGTCCTAACATAGAAAAATACATCTCATGCTAGAGGAGCTAAGGGCTATTTCACACAGACCTCAAAATCCATGAAAACAGAGTGGCTGCTTCCACCTGTGTCATATACTGATACTGCATTTGTTTGGATTCCAGTTCCTTTCTTTTAAAGCAATATAATACTCCCTCTAATCAGGAGCTATAGTTCTTATTGGGTGGCAGTAACATTTAAAAATCTGGGTTAATAAAAATACTAAGAAAAAGAAAAAAGAAGAAATTCAGTTAAATCTTTAACACGCATAACAATTGTTTCCATTTCTTGGAAAAACTCCTAGTATAATAAATGGAGCAAAAACATTTCCATTAAATACATTTATTATTTCCACATGGTATGTGTATGTGTAGTATGTGCAATTAAGGTTGCCTTCAAATTAGAAATGCTTTAAATCTCACACAAAGAGTCATTTCTCTTTCATCAAGGGGTCCTTCCAGCCAGAATTTTCTCATGGAAACTGGAGAGACCCAAACCAGCTCCACAACTGTGCTCCTCAGAGACCTCGAGTCATGTCTTTGGTACATTCATAGCTTCTTTTATTATTTTTTAAGCAATGAAAGAATGCGTCTGTGTCTGGATTCACTGGACTTCAATGTCCTTTCCTATACATCTTTCTTTCTATTTCCCAATTT